GGCGCCCTGAGACCCCAAGACACAGGGCCACGGCTGGGGGTGGGTGGGGTGTCTCTTCCCAAAGGACAGCTGGGGAAGATCACTTGTTTATGTTCTGTGAAAGGAATGGCTGGGCCCCTGAGGGCGGTATTGCTATTGTTATTGGAATGGTTTTCGCTGTTTCATCCCACACTTTGCCAAATGACTTCTGACATTGTTCCTTAATGCTCCCCGGGGTCCTACAAATCCCAAAGCTGCCAAATATCACTCTGCAGTTTAGGAATATTTCTAGCAACAAAATATCCCCTGGAGCTTTTTCAAAATGCCAACCAGATGGCCTAAGTTTCTGTACCAGGGGAAGTCTTCGAGGCCCTTTCTTCCCGAGAAGTTCCAGTCCGCCTTTCCCCAGGCCGCAGATTCCTCGCCTGTTATTATCGGTCATTCCAAACCTTCATTTTCTTCACATAAATCGGGTGCTTTCTCCTGCTCTTAATACCCATTGTGACCAAAAAGTGGAATCATTTTTTGTGTTTCTACCAACTGGGGCTGGAGCGATAGCACAGCGGTAGGGCGTTTGCCTTGCACGCAGCCAACATGGCCGACCCGAGTTCGATTCCTCCACCCCTCTCGGAGAGACTGGCAAGCTACCAAGGGTATCTCGCTCACACGGTAAAGGCTGGCAAGCTCCCCGTGATGTATTCGATATGCCAAACACAGTGACAATTGTCGCAACGGAGACATTACTGGGCCCGCTCGAGCAAATCGATGATCAATGGGAGAGCCTTTGCCTTTACCTTTTTTTTTTTACCAATTTGGGAAACAGAACAAAAATTTCTTCAGCGAGCTGGTCTGGGGTCCAGAGCAAAGAGCACCTGCAGACACGTCTAACCTCTGATACTGAGGTGTCGGTATCAAACAGACCGACAGAGATTCCCGTTTCCCATAAGGCCTGAGGAATGAAGAACAGTTTTTAAATTAACTGTTCCAAAGGACATACGAATACCAATAGGAGCTCTTTGGCCTTAATAAAATTAAACATATGTCTTGTACTAACACTGAACATCTGCCCAGTTCCCTTGGACGAAGCGACCAGCTGAGCCAGTCTTCCTTGAGTGCCACGCGGCAGGCAACTCTGCCCATCACTCCTCTCAACAACATGACTTGAACTGGGCACGTCGGTAAGGGAGGGCACAGTGCCTAAAAACAGGCCCCTGTTGCTGCTCTCATGGAAATGGGGGATGCCCCAGTGATGCCAGGGGTGCTGATTGGCCTCCAGACCATAGACCCGCGGGCGCCCGTGTGTGGAGCTCAGGGCATTCCTGTGCAATTCTGTGTAGCACGCTCCTCCTGGGCCCTGGTTCCAGCGGCCAGCTGCATGTGTTTTGAGTGTTGTTGCCCGAGTATAGCAGATGCTCATTACCAGATAATCAGAGCTGATGGCACACTCAGCACCAAGGTCAGACTGAACTTCAGCATGGGGCTTCTTCCTGGAAGGGGCAGACCTTGAACATTGCAGGTTCAGGGACCGGAGCCATGGTACAGCGGGTGAAGTGCTTGAGAAGAGCGAGTTCTAGAAAGGAATGTGCTAGTTTGCTGAGGCGTGTATGTTTACGAGCCTGCTCATAACTCTATTCTGGCAGCATCTCTTGGGGCTGGAGGTGTAGTTCAATGGTGCAGACCTTCATGCATGAGGTCCTGACAGTAGGAAAAAAGAAAAGAGAAAGAACCCCAGCACGGTCAACATGCCTGCCCGCTGCTCCTGAGCCAAGGGTGTCAAGCTGAAGCGAGGCTGTGTAGGGATGTGGAGGTGCACTGGGGTTGGGGGAGGGGGAAATATACCCGGAAATCAGCCTGGACGTGTGAGAGAGAATCTTCCTGAGAACATGCCCAGTGAAGGCACAGCTTGGGCCCTTTCTGCTAGGGCGTCCTCAGCTGTAGCACTGTAGCACTGTCCTCCTGTTGTTCATCGATTTGCTCGAGCGGGCCCAGTAACGTCTCCATTGTGAGACTTGTTGTTACTGTGTTTGACATATTGAATACGTCACGGGGAGCTTACCAGGCTTTGCTGTGTGGGCGAGATACTCTCAGTAGCTTGCTGGGCTCCCCAAGAGGGGCCGAGGAATCGAACTCAGGTCGGCCTGGTCGGCTGGGTGCAAGGCAAACGCCCTACCTGCTATGCTATCGCTCCAGCCCTGGGGCTTTAAAACCAGAGAGCAGGACAAGTTGCAATAGTGCATGTGGTAAGGTAAAGGTAAAGGCCCTCCCGTTGATCGTCGATTTGCTCGAGCGGGCCCAGTAACGTCTCCATTGGAGACTTTGTTGTTACTGTGTCTGGCATATCGAATACTCTCGGTAGCTTGCCGGGCTCTCCGAGAGGGGCGGAGGTGGTATTCCACAGTAAATTGGAGCGATAGCACAGCAGTAGGGCATTTGCCTTGCACGCAGCCAACATGCCCGACCCGAGTTCGAGTCCTCTGCCTCTCTCGGAGAGCCTGGCAAGCTACCGAGAGTATCTCGCCCGCACGGCAGAGCCTGGCAAGCTCCCCGTGATGTATTCGATATACCAAACACAGTAACAACAAAGTCTCCAATGGAGACGTTACTGGGCCCGCTCGAGCAAATCGATGAACAACAGGAGTACAGTGACAGTGACAGTGAAATGACTCTGCAATTAACTAAGAGAATAAGTGAATAAATGGCCAAATAACTTTTTCTTTTGTTTTTATTTTGTTTGGGGGGGTCACACCCAGCGATGCTTGGATTACACATGCCAAGAACACCAATACCTGGTGGTGCTGAGGGGACCATATGGGATGCGGGGATTAAACCCTGGTTAAGGCAAAAAATTCAACCGCTGTACTATTGCTGGGCCCTTGAATGACTTTTGCAGAGTCTGGTGATTTCCATTTATTTTGTGATACCAGGATTTGGAGACCTCAGTGGCATGTTGGTGAGTAGAAAAGCAAAAGTAATTTTGATGAGCGATTGCTCTGTGGATCTTGGCATATAACTAAGAAGGAATCAAAAGAATTGGGCAACAATTCTGTAACAAAACACTCTATTCCCACTAACTTCTTTATCCAGACAAGATTTCTTGGCATTTGTACTTAATGAAAAGAAAAACAGGAATATAATTGATGTGGAACTGTAAATGGTTCCAGTAATAAACAGTTTTTATCTGCAGATCCCATGAACAAACTGGAAAACCCCAGGCTTTTAACAGAGAGGTACATTTCCAACACAATTTTACTCATGGGTAACAAAGTTCTTTTCAAATTCATAATAACTTACGTTTTTACCAATTATGATCTAAACATAACTGTATTTATAGCACAATCAGTAAAAGAATCTAATAAAGACTTATTGTCACAGGAAACTTTTCTTTAATTAAATTCCAATTTATAGGCTTGATTTCTCACTCAGAAGTATGAGAAAGTAAATTAATAAAGTTTGTATATTTTTATAAAATTATTTGTGGGTATAATAAATTATATCAATAAATTGACATCTAATTAAAATTTTTCCTGGATAGTGTCTTTCAATATTGCAATTCTTTCTGGTTAGGTTATTATGCATATTTGAAAAGATTATGTAACATTTATAACATACACATGTATACATAAAAATTATAAACATAATCAATTCACCTCACCATTAATCACCATACAATGACACAAAACCCAAGAAAGTACCCTCTATGAAAAATATTATGTAGAAATGGGAATGAAAATAATTAGAAGAGAACAAAGATTGATGTCGTAATTAATTAACTAATTAATTTTTTTGTTTGAGCCACACTGCTGGTGCTCAGGGCTTACTCCTGGCTCTGCACTCAGGGATCACTCCTGGCAGGCTTGGGGGACCATATGGGATACCAGGGACCAAACCCAGATCAGCTGTGTGCAAGGCGAGCGCCCTTCCCATTGCACTACCTCCCTAGCCTTTGATGTCATATTTTAAACCCGTGTTTTCCCAAAGTAGATAATGGGGGTAGTGGTGAGCTCAGGTACAACTTGGGCGCCCTCTGTTCATTTAAGGAAGGTAGATTTCAAGATAAGGCCCTAAATGATCATTTTTTCTGAAACACACATACACACACACAGACACACACAGACACACCAACAGCAACAACAACAAGCCCCAGTGGGGTGGTGCTGATTTTTCAGACCAATTCAGTTTGGAACCTGCTGTTTGAGAGTCTGGAAGACGATGTTTTTTTGTTTTTGTTTTTTTTAATTTATTTTTTAAATTTTTTAAATTTTCATTAGTGAGACACCATGAGGTACAGTTGTAGACTTACAATTTTTTGTGCTTGGGTTTCAGTTATACAATGATCAAATACCCATCCCTCCACCAGTGCCCATTTCCCACCATCACAGGTCCCAGTATCCCTCCCACCCCCATCCCTCCCATCCTACCCTGCCTCTGTGGCAGGACATTCCCTTTTGTTCTCTCTCTCCTTTTGGGTCCTGTGGTTTGCAAAAGAGGCATTGAGTGGCAATCATGTTTGGTCTATAGTCTACCTTCAGCATGCTTCTCCCATCCTGGGAGGATCCTCCCAACACCCTTTATTTGGTGCTCCCTTCTCTATCTGAGTGGGAGACAATGTTTTTATTGGACTGTAGCTGACTAGTGGCTGTGGCTTCTGGTGGCTTCTGGCTATTTGGTGCAGGTGAAAGATGGACATGGTGATGGGATTTTTACACATCAGTGTTTATTAGAGACTGGAAATTACCTGCCTCACCCGCTGCCATTGAGAGTGACAATGAAGACTGGCACATTTCTACACAAAACTCTGCGGGTGCTATGTTTTAAGCACGTATTTAAGACCATTAAGTGCTATGCTGTTCGACACGTGATTGCTGATGTGAACCACCAACTAGTGGCCCACACTTGAATGTGGATTTGTTAACACAAACTGCAGGGCGGGGGGTCTCTTGTTACAGATCTCTGTTCGGGGGACACCCAGGTGCTGAGGGCAAGTGCAGCCAGGGTCTCCCATGCTTTTCTTCTCTCCGCAGTTTGACCTCGTGTGTGTCAATGCCTGGCTTCTGGACCTCAGCCAAGCCATCCTCAACCTGGGCTTCTTCATGGGCGCCTTCACCCTGGGCTACGCTGCCGACAGGTACGCACGGAAGGACAGGGGCATATTTTGCTCCCAAGTGCTGCATACACGTTTCACGGCTGCAGTCAGGAAACCCATGGAGTGGGACACACAGAAAATGGTCCGAATTCTACCGCTCCCTCTGGCCGCTCTCAGTGCGGGGGTGGGTTGAATCTGAAGTGAGTTCCTGGTACTTCCCTCTCTGGAGGGCAGGTGAGGAGGGGGATGAATGCAGAGGAAGATTGGCCCATTCCAAATCACTTCCACTTAATTAAAAAAGAATCCTTGTATTTTATTCTATAAAGTTCAAACAGTAAGGTTTTCTAGAAACCACGAAGAGTTTTCTGAGTGGCAGCATACCTAGCACTCATTGACGACACCATGAGTCATCTCCACCCCCAGGTTCCTGTTCTAGGTCTCTGGGATGTGGTTCCTGGAGGATCCCAAGAACTTCTCTAACAAGAAACACTCGCGCGTGTTTGGTGATTCTCTGTAGGCCCCTCGGCACGGGGATAGGAAATCTCTGACCTACGGCTGCTCTGATTTTATATCGCTCTGGCCATCCTAGCCAGCATGCTAGGGCCTGGGGGACGTGTGGGCAGTGAGCACTGCTAGGGGCACCTCTTAGGGATCCAAGGCCCCGATGAGTTATGAACCCCGACTCATTTAAATGCTCAACCCTGTAGCCAATGCATGGGCCTGCCCAGAACCTCGAGAAGGGTCATTCTCTGTCTCCTGGGGCCGGGGTCCCCATCACTTATTCTCCTCTCCTCCTATGTCCCTCCCCTCCCCCCACCATCTCTTGATCCCATGTCTGAGCTCTTCCTGCCTTTCTTTCCTCTCCCCATTGTCTTCCCTGCTGCCGCAGCCTCTCTGCGGCCCCTGCTCCTTCCCTCCGTGGCCACAGTTTGGAGACAGTGACCTGTCTTTCTTTCTGCTTGATGGGGCCCTTCCTAAGTTAAACATCTGATGCTGCTTCTCGGGTTTGCTTGTCTTTCATTGTTAGCAAACACATCCCTGAAGTCTAGCGACTCCAAGAAAGAGGGGGATGGTCTGACCCAGTGTTCTGGGGGGTTGGCCCTCACACATAGTGGGAAAGATGGAGTCCAGTGCACCTCACAGGGCTCGGCTGGGGCTGCTTCTCAGTGGCCTTGCAGCAAAGGGCCAGAAACGAGATCAGTAGCGCCCCCTGGAGGAAGAGAGAGAGTAGCCAAAGCAACGTCTGGCTCCTGAGGGATGGGGGTGGGGTGTGGAGACATTTCTATTCTGCTGTTTGGTTTGCGGCTGAGGAGAGACTTCCCGCTCTCTTCTTGTTGTGCTCAGGGGACCATGTGGTGCAGGGGATGGAGCCTGGGCCTTCCGCCTGCAGAGCCTGCATGCAGCCCTTTGAGCATTTCTCTCCCACCCAATCCAACCACATCCCCTGGCACAACCGGATTGGCCCATTGTGCATCAGGCTCTCAGGCCAGCCTGCAGGGGGCCTTGTCCCATTTCCCTGAACTTGGTAACGCTCATGGAAATGATGAAAGTGAAGGACAGAGCTGACCGAAGCACAGCTCCTGTGGCTGTGAGCCTGCATGTGTACACATAGGCTTTCGTGTTTGTGTCTCCTCGGGGTCTCTAGCACCCCTGTGACCAGTCCTGGGCTTTGGTGAGCTGAAGACTGCCTGGCTCAGGACCCCAGACTTTGGCATGGTCACTTCTGCTGCGTCCTTCCATCTCTCTGTCCTCTGACACCCCTAGTTGCCAAACCGTATGTGAGGAGGACAGATGCCATCAGGAGATCCCGAAGGACACGTACCACACTGTGTGCGTGCATGTGACCACATATATATATATATATATATTTTTTTTTTTTTTGCATTTTTTTAAGTGAAACACCATGAGGTACAGTTGTAGATTTACAATTTTTTGTGCTTGGGTTTCGATTATACAATGATCAAAAACCCATCCCTCTACCAGTGCCCATTTTCCACCACCATGGATAATATCCCTCCCACCCCCATCCCTCCCATCTCACCCTGCCTCTGACCACAGATATATTTTAAAGCAAACCATGCAGGGCCAACGGGATAACACATTGGTTAGGGCCTTTGCATTGCACTCGGCTGACCTGGGCCCAGTCCCCGACATACCATATGGTCCCCAAGCAGTCACGGTCATGATCCTCCCATTGTGCATTGATTTGTGAGCTGGATTTGATTCCTCCGGCAAGCTACCAAGAGTATCTCGCCTGCATGGCAAAGCCTGGCAAGCTCCCCGTGACGTATTTGATATGCCAAGTCTCACAATATTACTAGGCCTGCTTGAGCAAATCGATGAACAACGGGAGGACAATGATGGTGGTTTATTTATATATATATTTTTTGCTTTTTGAGTCACATCCGGCAATGCTCAGGGGTTGCTCCTGGCTCTGCACTAGGAATTACTCCTGGTGGTGCTCAGGGGACCATATGGGATGCTGGGAATCGAACCCAGGTCAGCTGTGTGCAAGGCAAACTTCTTCCCCACTGGGCTATCGCTCCAGCCCCATGTGCCACACTTTAAATGTCATAATTTTCCTGCTTTCCTTTGCTCTTAAAGGTGACCCTGCTTTAAGCAGTGCCATACTGCTCTATCCACCATCCACTGGTTCCACTATCCAGCAAATTCCCATTTCTGAGATCTTTTCAGCAGGTATATATATTTTTAAAAAATTTTGTTAAGTAGTTCACAATCTTTGATTACATTTAATATTCCAACACCAATCTCACCACCATTACAACTTCCTACCACCATATTTCAGATGTTTCCATCCTAAACCCCAATCCTTGTCCCAAACCAGAACCAAAATAATACGGTTTTTATTCTTTGTTATGAAAAACCACTGAAAATGCTGCAAAAAAAGTATCCTTAGAGGAAAGAGGGTGAGGATTGTTGTATTTCACCCAAGGACCATTAAGACCTTCTATAAGAGATCATTAACATGTTATTAGAGGTTGAGCCTTGTGTGCTTATATATATATATATATATATACATATATATACACACATATAAATATATATGTAAAAAATATAAATATACATACATATAAATATATATGTAAAATATATAAAATAGCATGTGACAGGGACAAATGGAGACGTTACTGGTGCCCGTTCAAGCAAATCGACGATTAACAGGAAGTCAAGTGATCAAGTGAAAAATAAAGTATTTCCCTTGAAGATTGGTACCCTTCTACTTTAAACCCCATCAAATGTGGTGTGGTATTCTTGGAGCATAGATAGGGTATGAGGTATGAGATGTCCAGGAATAGGTTCACTCATGGGTGAAGCTTGGCCCAAGCATGTGGAGAGTGGCCATGAGCCTGCAGTGGTTGAGTTCTGGAGGTTTTCAGCTGCCCGGGCTGGGTCCCTTGGGACAGGGAGGGGTCTGTTTTTGGAGGGTATTGACGAGGCTGCAGAGGACTGAGCTGCCCCTGGCTCCAGCCACCAGCACCCGCGGTGACTTTGGATTGTCTGTCTTTCCCACCAGGTACGGCAGGATCATCATCTACTTGACCTCCTGCCTGGGTGTTGGCGTGACAGGTGTGGTGGTGGCCTTCGCACCCAACTTCCCGGTGTTTGTCATCTTCCGCTTCCTGCAGGGCGTTTTCGGGAAGGGCACATGGATCACATGCTTCGTGATTGGTAAGTGGGGGCTCATGCCTGGTGAGAATTGGGGCTGGGTGTGGGACTTTGTAGCTGCCGCTAACACCAGCCAACCTTCCTCCCAACCAGCGGACACTGCAGTGGCCAGGATTAAAATACCGCCTCGGGAACCAGATGTGAACTATTGCCAAGGTTTTTTGGTGACCCTGCTTTAAGCAGTGCCATACTGCTCTTTCATGATTTTTTGCTTTTTTAATTAATTAATTAGGGTTTGGGGGCCATATCCAAAGCTTACTCATGGCTCTGCACTCAGGGATCACTCCTGGCAGGGCTCAGGGGGCCATATGGGGGTGCCTAGGTTTGAACCTGGATGGGCTGCATGCAAGGAGAATGCCCTGTCTCTGTACTATGGCTTCCAGCCCCTCTGTTTTATTTGAAATAAATTTTTGTAAAGATATAAGTAACTCTTTGAAACATTTACAAAACATTTTATATGTATTCTGTGGTATAATCTGAGATTGCTTTCCTATGTTCTCAGAGATGATTTAATTCTATTTTTTTGGCATACAATAAGGGATTTTTTTTTTTTACCATTCAGGGTCTTCAAATTCAGTCCAATTGTGAACCTTTGTTATCATCCATAGCTTCGGATTATGAAAGAACAAAAATTTCCCTCTGTTCTCTGCTCTATTCCTTGGGAGGTCCTGGCTGTCCTTTGGGGCTATTTCTAGTGACAGGGTCAGGGACGGCCATGCAGAAGCTATGGGGTCAACAGTAGAGAGTCAAGGAAATGCAGAAATGCTTCCTCTGTAGACTCTGTAATGCTCTGGGTGTCTGATGTCCTCAGCTACTGCTGGGTAGGCCTGGGCAGAGGCCCCTGAGGACACCCTCTGGGTGATTCTTTTGGGTGCTCAGAGCACTTGGAGGTCCCTGACTAGGTCTAAGGAAGCACTCCCTTCGTCCTTGATTCCAAGCAGATGCAAGTCTGGCTAGATTTTCAAAGTGAGTGGTTTGAGCGAGATGCCTGAGCACATCTGGGGCGGGGGGTGTGGGGATCAAAACAGAGCTAGAATCTCTGAAACTGCCATGTGGGACATTAGGGAGAGCTGAGAAGGGCACAAAGGATGGATTTCCCGGATGACTCCTTAGGTCCATCAGTGAAACTTTCAGCAGTGGAGGGAGGACTGTCGCAGGAGAGCAATGATCTTTGGATACCAAAAAACGTATCTGCAGAGTCTCTCGTCAAAAAAGAATGTACTAAACAGACAATATGAAGATCTGTAAAGATAAAAGTCTAGTGATAAAGTCAGGTGGAAATATGGCCAGTTCTATTTCTGTTTGGGTCGTGGCAAACAAATCCATCTGCCTCATTGGGGGTTTCTTACGTGAGGGTCCTCACGCCCGTGCTCTCTGTCTCAGCTGGGGGGGCCGAAGCAGGCCGGCAGCTGATGGTACCTTCCAGAGAAGAGGAGAGCACACAGATTCGCTGGAGAACACAAGCCCCTCGTTTCAGGAGGCAGTTCCCACAGAATTGTAGCAGACTGACTTGGGAGGCAGGAGGACTGTGCCTGCTCATCTCATTGTTCAGAAGCTGATCTTGACCTCCCTTAATCCTAATCCCTGCGTTTTTTCTCCCGCAGTGACCGAAATGGTGGGCTCCAAGCAAAGGAGGATTGTGGGCATAGTGATTCAGATGTTCTTCACCCTGGGAATCATCATTCTCCCAGGAATCGCCTACTTCATCCCGAATTGGCAGAGCATCCAACTCGCCACCACACTGCCCAACTTTCTCTTCCTCCTGTATTACTGGTAAAGCGGTTCTCACCATTAGCATGGTTATACTTATTCCACAGAAAGGAAGAACCTTTTACACCAACAGGAACACAGAAGCACGGAGAAGCGCTTGTAGCATCTCGGGTATGGAGATGGATTTTGAGAGCACACAGAGATGAGGGGCAGTTATTGGGGAAAGTAAATGAACTAAATATTGAAGCCCCAAATTCTTTTTTTTAAATTATTTTTTTTTAAAAATCAAAAACTAATTTTGCATTGAATCACAGTGAGATACACAGTTAAGGTTGTTCATGATTGGGTTTCAGTAAATAATGTACCAGCACCCATCCCTTCACCAATGTACATTTCCCACCACCAATGTCCCCAGTTTCCCTCCCATCTCTCCCCACAGGCCTGCCTCTGTGATGGGTACCTTTCTTTTATTCTCTCTCTCTCTCTCTCTCTCTCTCTCTCTCTCTCTCTCTCTCTCTTTGGGCATTATGGTTTGCACTACAGATACTGGAAGGTTATCAAGTGTATTCCTTTAGTTACTTTCACCACTCAGTTCTTGTTCAGAGTGGTCATTTCTATTATTGTCATACTGGTCCCTTCTCTATCCTAACTGCTCTTTGTCCCCCACACACTTGTGACAAAGGAAGCCCATATTTCTAACAAGTGCCCTGAATCACGTTTGCCTACTTTGTCAGATCTCCATAAGACAACAAACCAGATTTCTAGTCCCCCATGCAAATTAAGTGCAACGAAATGGACTTGCTTTTCTGTGTGTTCCATTAAGCAAATTAACATTATTTAGGAATTCATTTAGGATTAAAACACTGTTAAGAGCATCTGAAATTAAGTCATCAGAAAGTCACATGTGTATATATTTGATTCTTATTACAGAAACATTTTAATCATGCCAATTTCTTACTTCTAAAATAATGGTAAATTGACATAAATCACATTCTTAACCTTTACCCACATGATCACTAAATCCCAAATCTATTCATCTGTGTAATCAAGGACATTGTTCAGAGATGGTCTGCTATTGCAAGAATAATGTAATATTAATTTATTATCAGCCATGACCCACTAATCAAGTATTTTTCTTCTATTTCAAACTTGGAAAGATAATCTCTATTTCAGAGGACCTATTCTAAACACTCAGAATTTCCTAAACGTGTGTTTAAGTTGTAAGGTTCATGTTCCCAGAGAAATGCAAGTCCTAAGTTTTGAAGATTTGAAGTTCCTCAACATATTTTAAAAGGCTGTCTTATTACCAGGGTGGTTCCCGAGTCTCCCCGATGGCTGGTGACTCAGAAGAAAGGAGAAAAAGCATTGCAAGTTCTGAGGCGCATTGCCAAATGCAATGGGAAATACCTCTCACCAAATTACTCAGAGGTAACTAACTTATTACTCGTAACCGGTATGGTCAAAATGAGTCAACTCATTTGGCATTTAAACATATGTCACCAGTGTTTGTCTAAATCATGTTCTGTTTGGCTTTTTAAAAGAAGGAAAATTGTGAGGGCCGGGGGGGAGGACTTACAAGGCACAATCCAGAAGAAATTACCGTGAATTACTGGTTAGTTGTTTAGTCTGTGTTTTAACATTTGCACCAAGCCCTTGAATCATACTTAGGGTGGGTGTGTACTATTTAACAATTCAACTCAATTGCATAAAATACTAGTTTTTCTTGACATTCAAATTAGTTTTAGGATTTGAAATTTAGTCTGACTACTTACTTGAACTAGAGTTTAGCAAGGTTTGTATTTCAGCTGTTAAGACTTGCCTGAGTGATGAGGCCAGTGAGATAGCACAGCGGGTGTGGCACTTGCCTTGCACACAGCCAACCTGGGTTCGATACCCGGCATCCCATATGGTCCCCTGAGCACTGCTAAAGGTGACTCCTGAGTGCAGAACCAGGAGTAAGCCCTGAGCATTGCTGGGTATTCCCCCCCCCCCACCAAAAAATAATAGATTTGCCTGTATGAATGGCCATCCTTCCAACATCCCTCCTCCCCTTCCTCCTCTCACCTCCCTCTTCTTTCCCTCCCTCCATTTTTCCTTTCTTCTTTCCACAAAGGTTCTTTTTAAGTGGCTCCCTATCTCCACCCTAGAGAAACAGGGGGTGGGGACAAATCTGACTTGAGGGTCCTTTGGAGGATTTGATCCACGACCACAGACATGCGCAGATGTTGGAAGCACCACAGTTCTCACACGAGAGCAACGCATCAAGAACTAGATGAGGACGTTTTAGCTGCAGAGACACAGTATAGAATCCAAGCAGGACAACAAGTGGAATAACAAAGAGTGTGGTAGCAATATCAACCCTTGCTATAAGCCTTGAAGAATAGTAGATCGCTAACATTAGCTTCTTCATAACGTTTGTTTGGTTTTGATATAAACATTCTGGTAAAAAATAAAGCAAAAGACTTCGCAGGTACCAGATCAATGATACAAAAGGAAGGTGCTTCCTTGGCATGCAACCCACTCTGGTTTGCTCCTGGGTACCACATAAGGTCCCTCAGCCCCACCAGATCCCCAAGCTCAGCTGGGTGTGCTCCTAAATTTCTTCTATAACGATGCAGTGATTTCTGTCCCTTCCCCAGCTGCCTGGAGCTTTCTGCCTTCCTGCTCTACTCTGAGGTTAAGTTGCAGAGAGAGGCAGCTGCTGTGGCCGTTGATAAGGCTCCTTTCACCAGCCACTTGTGCACCTGGAGTAGAGTCACTGTGCTCCTTGAAGTTTCCTGGCCGTAAAACCTATGTGAAACCAATAGATTTTTGTCACTGGGCGAACGCATTTGACCCTGTTGTGCACTAGGTCTCAGTCCCTGCCCCCACAGCAAATGCAGGGGTTTTGTACTCAGTTTTAACAACTGGTGGGTATTTTATGCTACTTTTTCATTTTGGGACCACACCCAGTGCTGCTCAGAGGTCACTCCTGGCTCTTGCAGGGGACCATATGCGGTGCTTGGGATCGAACCTGGGTTGGCCACATACAAAGCAAACACTCTACTTGCTGTATTATAACTCCTGCCCACATCCCCCATAATATTTTTATCATTTATGTGGCTGCTTCCTGAAGATCTTGTATGTGTAGACCCAGAACTCAGCATTCATGAGCTCAAAGTCTGGAACCTATGAACATGGATGAAAGAGTAGCCACTGGTGCCCTGTGAAATAAAATACCACACCAACAGGCCTGCCTGGTCCCTCCCATTCCACACTGATAGCTCCCAGCTCCCACAGATACTCTTGGCAACCCTGAGCACTGGAAGAGGAGTACCTCAGCCTCACACATTTTTACAGATACATTTTTCTTCATTTGCCCAATTTTTCGTTCCCAGTGAATTCTAAGAATCAAGGAATATTTACTTCAGTTTGTAGTTGAAAATGACTCTGCTCTCAATGTGTTTCTTCCTTTGTAGTCGGGCTTTTGTGGCCAATCAAATTGTTTTCTCAAGGCTAACGGGGCTATCTTTTGCCTAGCTGCAAGATAATTAGTTAGAATATTATTTTTCCCAAACTTTAAAGGTTTTTTTTTCTAAAAGTCTTGCTATAATTAGTTATCTGTGCAGCTCAAATAGTCAAGTCTTATGTATACTTTAAGTTTTATTTAAAAGCAACCTTCGAAAACACATAATTTAGAGGGAAGGAAGAAAGTCTTAGATCACCGATGTCCAGTTTAGTTTGAAGGTGAAATATTTCTTGATCTTTCTGCCATCTCCTTTTCTTCCTGTTTGGAAATTACCAATATTTCCTTGAGACAAAACTCTTCTGGGCTGGAGTGATAGCACAGCGGTAGGGCGTTTGCCTTACAAGCGGCCAACATAGCCGACCTGAGTTCGATTCCTCCACCCCTCTCGGAGAGCACGGCAAACTACCGAGAGTATCTCGCCCGCACGGCAGAGCCTGGCAAGCTCCCCGTGACGTATTCGATATGCCAGACACAGTAACAACAAAGTCTCCAATGGAGACGTTACTGGGCCCACTCTAGCAAATCGATGAACAATGGGAGGACCGGACCGAAGACTCTTCCAAGAAAATGTTTTTGTTTTCCTGCCCCTTCTCACCATAAATACATATTTTGTTCTCTGGAGACATTTATTTATTTTTAATCACTTTGATTTCATAAAACATTTAGGACTTTTAATCCTTAAAATATCTATTTCCTCACTTCAAAACTGAAAGAAGGAGTTGGAGAGATAGTACAGAGGGTAGGGTGCTTGCCTTGCTTGTGGTCAACCCGGATTTAATTCCTGGCATCCCATATGGTCCCCTGAGCCCCTCCAGAAGTGATTCCAGGATACAGAGCCAGGAGATACCCCTGAGAACTGCTGGGGGTTACCCCCAAATGAAAACAAGAACAGAGCCCCCAAACAACAACAACAAATTGTAAGCAGAGTGAGGTGGCGGTATATTACCAAGCACATCCCTCACTCACTGAGGAAGGGCAGTTAACACTTTGACTGTGGGACACTATTGCAGGCAGTAAGAAAATGCAGAGGCAGGGCGGGTGGGAACTGAGATGGCCTTGAATGACAAAGGCAGGGGATGGATGCAGGAGGGACTAACAGCGTCAAACTTTCCATAAGGTTTCTATTTGTTTCATTTTTTTCCTTCCAGGTTTTACTATTGGGGAGTAAGGGAGTAGTGCCTTTCCCCCCTTGTTATACTATGAAGCAGAAGCCCTTCTCAGAGTGTTCCTTGTTTTACAGAAACATAAAAGCCTGGGCATAAGGCATTTTTATCTCACTTACTCTCTCTTTCATAAAACTGTTCTGGTTGTCAGAGTGCATAGTCATTTGAAATGTGTGCCAGGCACTGTCTCCAGGCACTGTCTCGCCTCAAATTCTAGCTCTGACGCAGGCCAAGCAAGGTTATGATAGACAGAAAATCATTTCTTTTTTTCCTTTGGACCCATAGCTAAAGGTGGACCAGCTTCCTAGGATATAGCCCAGGAGGATTTTAGGAGGCATCAAAGCTGAATCCCCCAAATGACATACAGACAAAAGCAAATTTCAAACACAACAAAAACCAGATTCCAAACATAGGCATAAGCTAAACAAAAGCAAGTCATAACAGGACTACAAATGCAAACTCATAAAGAAAACTCAATTCCAAACAGAAGGACAGATGGGACTTCTAAAATGCATGTCCTCCCAAGAAGAAGGTAGGTGTTCAGATGTTAGGAAGACCACTTGGATTTTTCCTCCAGTTGGATACTGAGGTTAAGACCCCCAACTCTGAACATTAGTTTTGATTCTGACTGACTTTAACATTCCAGAGTTGCACACCAGGCAGAAATCCTGCCTAGGAACCAGAAGTGGCCTTACACATGTGCGTGCACACACACACAAACACACACACACATATGCATGCACGCAAACTGCATGCACACACACATGCAGACTTCGTTGATTGATTGACTTACCCTAGTTGTTTCTGTCTTTTGAAAGGGTTGGCCAGGGAGCAGCTGATACAGAGCTGGGAAACTGGGATTGGGCCTTTGCCTGTTTCTTATTCAGAGGATACGTGCACAAGAGTCTCTTGGCACGTGCCTGGGGAGATGACATCCCTCCCCACGGGCCACTGAGAGTCAGAATCTCTCTTTCCGAGTCATCAGAAGGGAAACCCACACTGCATATGTGACATTCTTCTTCCAAAGGGGAAGGCAGTCATGAAAGAGAGGGTCTGATAAGATCTGTCACCCATCTTGAGAAATGGCCACCGTGATAAGCACGCTGGAATATCAACTGTTTCCTTACGCCACGTCGGTTGGGCGAAGACTCCCACACAACTTTCCAGCAAAGTGGGAGGCATTTCCCTTGAGTGCTGCGGGAGCGGTTCTCTGCTGCATGCCAAAGTGTTTTCAGGTTCCTGTTCAGTGGTGCTAAGACTGAGCACATAGAACCCTGGTTCCGAGGTGGAAGAAAAGCAAAAATCCAGTGACAGGAGAGAGAAGTCCTGAACGGCAGAGGCACTGTAAAGAGTCATGTTGTGGCTGTGGTTCCGCCCAGAGGCGACACAGGGAAGAACCTGCTTCTCGTGAGTCAGTACTCACTGGCCACTCTCACTGACAGCCGTGCTTCCAATTTTCTCCTAGCTGCTTTACTAAGTTAGGGTGCCCGACCCAGGGGTGTAAGCCAGGATCAGGGATGCTTGGCCCCACACCATCCCACCAGTCCCCGCTGGGTGTTTGACTCCTATAGAATTTTCTGCTGTCTCCATTACCTCAGTCTCTGGCACTTTCTACACATTGGAAGTTAGATCTAGGGCTCGGTCAGATTTGGGTTTGATATTTTCTTTTTTTATCCTTTGTTTTAGCTTGCTTTGATTTTTAGGGATACACTTGGTAATGCTCAGGAATCACTCCTGGAGGTGCTCAAGGGACCATA